GGTTACAACGGCGAACCTCACAATGGAAACGATCGAACAGAGATCACTGAGGTCTTTCCCCGACAACCCCAAAGTATTCATGCGCTATGTGCTAGAGCGACTGTTTCTGCGTTCTTAAGAAATTGGACGTCACTATTTTTTTTGGGGGGGCACACATCAACTCTATCAAGCCGGCCATTCAGTTTATCATGGATTGCGAAACGGATGCCACCTTGCCGTTCCTCGATGTGCTGGTGAACCGGCGAATCTGATGCTTACGATGTACAGAAAGCCAACACACACCGAATGCTACCTCAAGATTGACTCCAACAACCCGACTATTATTAAAGCGGCCGTGGTTTCGGCCCTCTTGCGTAGGGTGGTGACTATCTGCTCGTCCGAACCGATAAAAAAGAAGAGGACCATTATTGTAGACCTAAAGAAACATGGCTACTCTGGTAGCTTCATTGAGCCCATGGCCCGACGCCAAGACCTAGACGGACAAAACCAGACGCCACTAGAAGGAGGACAGCCGCATCGAGTCGCGCGAATCAGCGTCCCCAAAGTGAAAGGAACCAGCGAAGCGGTCGCAAGGTTACTGGGAAACAAATGTATCCTGGTGGCTGTGAGAATCGGCCCCCCATCACCGTGAAGGGACGCGGGAACAGGCTCTTTTCTTTGTGTGTGTGCGTTTGCACGTGTGCCCCGGTGTGTGGGTGAACTGGCGACGCTCGTGCGAGCTGGGGAAGGGGACATTTTGGAGAAGAGGAGGATGAAAAGGACAGCACGTTGTGTGACCTTTTTGGAGGGATTCGGAAATTAGCTTGGCTTGTAAATAGACGTGTTATTTTTCTTCCCCCTCACCAACGAGTCCTGTCTGCTTTACTCTTCCGTCAGCGACCCTCAGCTGCCTCCGTCGTCGGGTCCCGGCGCAATCTCGACGAAAGAACATCTTTACTGGCGCAGTCGACAGGATTGCGTCAGCGGACCCCGGCGGCGTGATCTTCACAACGGAATCGGCGGACAGCGACTTGACGCGGCTTTGGTGGAGCCTTCTAAAGAAAAGACTAGACCACCGAGCTCCTTGAAGACTGGACCACCGACCTACTTCGTGGTGACAGAGCTACCTCGGACCAGATGCTGTCCCACTCCAGCAAGGAGCGCCTGAGTCTACAGCTCGGACATCATTTCCGTGCCTGACTATTCTGAGCAGCGGGCTGCGTCTGTGATCCAGCGGCAGTCGTTGACCTTACGGTAAGGTGATTCTTTGACGTGTGCCCGCCATGGATACAGACAGTGCAGAGCGGCGGATGCCGGTTCTAACGCCCGAGCAGAATAGGGGTCGGAATAGGAATGTTGACGGGCCAGGTGAATCGTCACCTTCGAGTGGATTAGGGGCAAACTCGCAGACACAAGGGGAGGGGAACGGAGGAATCCCACCAGACAGCTTTATTGAAAAGGAGATAAAACTAGTGAGGGAGAAAGAACGGCTAATACGTCTCGAGCTAAAGCTAGAACATCTACACTCAGGGAACCGAACGCGAGCCAGTGGAGGCGGCATGGAGTTCAACCTCCGAGATGAAGTTTTAAGCTTTTCAAGATTGATGAAAGGAGTACTGACTCCCATGCCGTCTTCCGACTTATTAGTGCCGAGCTAGTTTGATGGCGTAGAAAACGTCTTCGAGACATATGAAGTCCCTGAGCGGCTCAGAGGATACCTTGTGCGACCTTATTTCGCGGAGAGCATACGCGCACTAGTGATAGGCTGAACATGGGTGAAAGAAGTGGGTATGGTGCGGTCAAAGAATCGGTCTTGTTAGAGCTCGGAGTGTCGCGAGCTGAGGTCTGGAGGCCCTTTATCGAAACCACCACTTCTCTCAAGGAAAAACACGAGAACCCAAGGCAGGGCATTATACCTGAATATCATCGGGTGAAGTGTTTTAAATGTAAGGAATTGGGGCAACTCTCCCGCCAATGTCCCCGGTCGAAGAAACCAGACGAAGAACTTCGGTTTCACAAGAAAAGAGTAGACGCCAAGAATGTCACTGTGGAGGAAGACTCCAGCCGTGAGCCCGACAAGGTGACGACCGATGTGGACAAGACCGACGGGAGCAACTTGAACCTCCAAGGCCAGAAGAGGCTGCACCCAACGGTCCACGAGGCGCCTCAGATTCTGTTACAAGCCGACGACACGAAGTGGTCGTCAAAGAACAATTGCAGCTGCGTGTCTGTGCAGGCGCACGTTGACGACAGAAACTAGCTGAACGTTTCGCGTGCCTGGAGGACATCCCAGTGAGCCCAGGACGACCACGACCAGCAGGTGAACGTCGACGACAAAAGGCCGTACACTTTGCCTGGGCAGCAGGCGTCCCGGCAATCTGAGGACGACCCATGTGTGAACTTCGACAACGTCGAGGCCGGTCCCGGCATCTTACCTGGGTTGCACAAGTTCCGGCAAGCCAATGACGACCAAGTTGAGAACATGGGCGTCGGTTGCAAGGAAGAACCTAGAGTATCTCCTGGGACGCGGGCGTTCCGGCAAGCCGAGGACGACGACGGCGAGAACGTGGACGACGACGAAGGACCGAACTTATCGCCTGGGCAGCAGGATGACCATGACGAGAACGTGAACGTCGACGACGAAAAAGAACCGAATATCTTGCTTTGGCGGCAGATGTTCTGGAAAGCTGATAGTGACTACGGCAGGGAAGTGGGTGTCGACAAGAAGTCAGACATCTTGTTAGGGTGGCTGACGTCACAGCCGGCCGGTGAAGGTGTCAGGGAAAGCGGGGACAGCGACAAGGACACCGTCTTCGAAATGAAGATGTCCCAGAATATTGCAAAGGACGCCGATGAAGAGTCGACCACCTGCCAGCCGGCCACGTATGAGAGACGTCGACAACGGCGACAGCCTGCGAGGCCCCTTCCTGATTCGTAAATGAAGACAGAGTATAAACTGTCGTCGCTCTTGCGCGGAGAAATTCCGGAACCAGCTATACACCCTCCGATTCAAGCCCCGCCGAAATCTGGGTGGCTTGAATAACCTCTCGGCAAAGAGGCCGAGGCTAGGAGGCTAGATGCTGCGCTAGTTTCGACGCGAGATTTGTCACTGCTTTGGAGCCATGGCGGGCACAGTAAGAATCACTGTACTGGCGTGTAATTTGCATTTTGGTGTAAATTTCTTTGATAGTTTGGATTCTGACGGGTTGAGTCACAAACTTGGTGTAAGGTGTGTCTGATATGCGTACGCGTTTGAGTTGAGTTGTTATATAGTATTTTTGACATTTCGGGTCTAAAAAAATATACTTAGTCGGGACGTGTGAGAATCGGCCCCCCATCACCATGAAGGGACGCGGGAACAGGCTCTTTTCTTTGCGTGTGTGCGTTTGCACGTGTGCCCCGGTCTGTGGGTGAACTGTGCGAGCTGGGGCAGGGGACATTTTGGAGAAGAGGAAGACGAAAAGGACAGCACGTGGTGTGACCTTTTTGGAGGGATTCTGAAATTAGCTTGGCTTGTAAATAGACGCGTTATTTTTTTTCTTCCCCCTCACCACCGAGTCCTGTCTGCTTTACTCTTCCGTCAGCGACCATCAGCTGCCTCCGTCGTCGGGTCCCGGCGCAATCTCGAAGAAAGAACAACTTTACTGTGGCCCACAAGTCCGCTTCTGCGCTTGGAAGGTTCATGCCAAGAACGAAAGATTGTCTACCAAAAGAAAGCGCGCAGGGCGTGGTTTACACCATTTCACGCGCAGAGTGCCCCGCAATCAACATCAGGGAGACATTCTGATTACCGTTGCAACTAATAAAACCACTTGTAACCTCTCATTTTCCCCTTTCCCGTTTCTAATTGCAATTTTTGTAAACGTTTCCTGACCCAGAATCGTCGATCCATGTCTACAAATGGAAGATGGTTTACAAAAATGGGAAGATTAAGACGATAACTAATTTATACTAACGAAATTTTATTCCAACATTGAAGAATGCGAAAGAAGATTCGCTTTGATACCACCAGAGGAATCTGCCATCTTGAAAATCTAAAGTAATCAGAACAGTAACTGCCACCTACTCATGTTCAATTAGTTTACTTCAGAAATAATCCAGACATCTAACTGAATACTTTCTAACAGAGAGTAGTTGTTATTGTAATCGCTTATTTTTTGTAGTAAAGTGTACAAAAGTGGAACATCGGCAATGCGGCACCGCGTCGTATCGCTTCGCCGACCTTAGAACAGCCTGTCACTTGGCTTGTAGCAGCACCGTATTTTGTTTATATTCATTAGGTGCTACTGGTTCAATCGCCGTCCCGTCTGAAACAACAATCATAATGCAAATATGGAAACTGAAATGTTCCTAGTGACTACGAATCAATTTTCTTTGGAGCAAGCAGCGCAGAAAACTGCCGATCACTAGGCGCACCCCACCACTTTCTCACGGAAAGGAGGATGGAGCTGTTCGCAAAGCGATCCAGCGGCTCGACACATCTGGATTCAGCAGGCAGAAATATCGCGCCTATATTGCGAGGGGCAGAGACTTCCGCTCGGCGAATGTGCACCGAGCGCTTGCTATTTACCAGGGAGCGGGACTGTTATCCGTAACTCAAAAGAACTGAAATGATTCGCTCATGTAGTACCCTATATCTCGAACATTTTAAGTAGAACGAGTAAAAGATAAATGAAAAGAAGGAGCTTGGTGACCTCAGCAACTACCGAATAGCAGTCGCCCTGTTTCCTTCTACTGGGAACCAGAGAAATTTCGACTTAATGGTCGATGTGCGGGTCATTTCGTCAGATTTGAGAGCTTTCAGAAACTAATGTTTGGTTGAAAATATACTTTAGGGTCTAATGGAAAAACATACCTTGTTAGACTAATTTAACCTGTTTGAAGAACCTTCCTTAGCCTTCTTTGCTCTAGTTTATTAACGAGAACCCACTCTAGCGTTGTATTGAACATGTCCAATTTAGACCTCCGAGTGTGTCGTTCCCAGTACCAAAGTATCTCATATAAAAAATATCATCCACATATTTCCGTCGAGAACAATAGTTTATTAGTCAAGCAGGAGGAAATATTTGTGTGTTGTCATTGCAAGAGGAGGGTTCAGGAGCGGTCGAGTGTAAAGCCGGTTGTATCAGCCGAAGTGGCGAGGTCTGCCTCCGAAACCGTGGCCACCTCCAAAGCCACGGCCCCCGCCGAAGCCACGTCCTCCTCCGAAACCGCGGCCGCCGCCGAATCCTCTTCCTCCGCCAAAACCTCGGTTGTACTGGGCCACAGCCAGGCTGCACAGGACCGCGAGGACGACCAGGGCCACCAGGAGGGTCTTTCCGGAGATCATGCTGGTTCTGGTGTGTGCGTTAAAGGAGAGTGTACGTCGCATAAAGTAGGAGTTTCTCAGCGAACACCTCGCCTCCAGGTTGTAATGTTCTGCTCCATGCCTACTCCACTTTAAATATGTAAAAACGCTTACAAACTAAATGAGTACCTTCCACAGTATTAAAGGTCAAATACAACTCAAAAATGCAAACTCTACTTCGTGTATTTCTTGCCCGCTCACCGATAAGAAGAGAAAAAACAAAAAGAGTCTCGCCGCTTCAACCGTTTCGCGTAACTAATGCTCAATTGCTTTCCTTCAGTGGTATGTGAAAATTCGGTATCCTACTATTGCTAGCGCAAAGAGAATACCTAAAAAGTCATTTAAATACTGACTAAACCAGCTAGTTTGATTTGAAAAAATATGTTTTTTGTATATATTTATATTTATAATTTCAATTCTAATACATATCGAATGTCATAAAGCGCGCAGACGAATGGGACCTACTAAATTCAAGATAGTTACTGAAATAAGAACATATCAGTCACTTTTTTAACAAGTTTTGAATTCACATATTTTTCCAGACACAAAATTAAAAGAAAAAATAATGACCGCAGTTGCGCGGGCACACTATAAATGCATATCGATTTCCTCTTTTTCAAATATTATACTACTATAATCAATAAAAAACAAATTTCACAAGAAATGTCAAGGAAAGAAATTCATATAAAAAATTGTTCATTAAGGGTGCTTCTAATAGTGTCCGCTTTAGGACCGCATCATGGTAAACCTGAGACTTGTCTAGGAAAAAAAAAGACAAACGAAGACACAAAAATAACAGTCAACGTCTGAATTAAGATGTTGGCTGTTCTTTTTCCGTCCTTTGCGATTTCCTTTTCCTACCGAAGTATGAGGTTTAGAATCATGTTCAATTGCACCAGCTCGCCTGTGCACTGCACATTTTTTCGCTTCAGGATATTTGCTCATTCGAATAGTTCTCGTAAAGCAATTCGTTCAGACTCTAAAAAAATGGCTTAAGGTGTAATATATTACTCACCGATAGCGCTGTCAGGTTCAAAGATGCTGAAACTCACTCCCCTCGGAGCTTTTATAATGGAGCTGTTCAGGATGCCTAGATGCGATGGGAGCTACAAGGACGCCAGGAAAAGCCCTCCGTAGAGGCTTCCTGGAGAAGGCTTGAAACCGTCTTCCCTGATTGACATCAACGACGGCGCCGGACGCATTGAGACGGATGTCTGGACGATGTGATCTTAGATGTACACTCTCAGTAGGAAAGCGTATGCCTTTGTAGACATTTGACGGTTTTGACAGGTGTATATTTTGAGAAACCGACTCCTGCTGTCCTTGGACACTGTTTAATAAGAGATTCACAGAGAGGTTACGCTAAAAAGATCCTGCATTTTACCCACGCCGAACAAACTTATAAAACATTCATTTTTAATCGCTTGTCTTGGTTTCGATGATGTCATAGCGAAACGTCGACAGGACTTATGATGTGTTCTCACAAAACTTCTTTTCGCGTAGCTGCTTCGATCCCTATGTACCTCTTATCTCGTTTGGAGCGCACAATTACCAATGTGCACTTCTGTGGGATGTGCTTTTTAGTGCAGTGTTGTTGAGAAATTTCATCTGAAAAGTTTTCAGGTTTATTCAGATGTTTTAGTACAACTTAATGTAAGTCAACATAATTTTTTATACAACCCCCTTTTTATCGGTTACCACCGATATAATCAATTAATCAATCAATCTGTCATTTGCCGCAGTTTTTAGACACCAAATATAGTTGCCCACATAAGCTACATTATTTCCTCCAGTAGCAGATACACTACCTGTGATCAAGGTACTTTCAGCTACATTCCAGCAGCATACATACACTTTTATTATGTGCTCGTTTTGTTCACTTTTTTGTGTTCGTCCTCTCTGTCTGCGCATACAAGTTTATGTAGTCAACCATTGCGTTCCGCACTAAAACAAAAAGCGTAGCGAATAACAGTGTCTAAAAGAACATTATTTTGGTAAAATGCGATCTGCACATGCCATTTTCGCGCAAAAGCATTATCGCTGCGCCTAAACTCGCATCCATATTTCTGTCAAAGTAAACCCACAGGCTCTATTAGTTAACAGTGCGTCTATTCCTTCAATAAATGCGGTGTATGCAGTTTGTACATAGGACTCCAACACAATTCTCTAATATTTATAGTGTGATTAATCTGTGCATCTCCGTCCGCCATGAACCTTAACTTCGTATTCACGGTTTTGCAGCGTTCAAGTTCCGGTACTGCTAACCTATATTTTAAAGCCTAGTAGTATGTCCTAAATGTAAACACATGCCACTAAAAGAAAAAAAAAACTTTTATGTGTACGATTAACAAACCAAAATTTTAAATGCCTCCCCTGTTCTATATTTAATTATCTGCAAAAACAAAGGCTAGAAAGTTCACTTCAAATTGGCGAAAAATACATTGCATACGTTTGTGTGTTACAAATTCAAGTGCAATATTTTGAAATAACTTGTAGATAAAAATAAAACAAAAAACAGTATATGGTGTGCATAGTTGTCTAGTAAGGCGATTCTGGAAAGGTTTAAATATCTCCCGACTGCAGTAAACCCAATTAGGAAATATTAATGACCAAAGTATAACTAGATTCTCCTAAGAAGCTATAGGCCATGAGCACCCAATAGTTAAGGCTTGAGACGTAAGCTAACTTCAAACAGAGAGAGGGTGTCATAAAAGTGCTGCCGGCAGTCGACTTTTCAGAACATATCTACACCGCGTTTTAGTCCATGTCTATACGCAGCCGATACAACGGGTTATAGGTATCATCAATCCGTGTCAAACGCACAAGTCATTGGCTTTTTTATATTTATGATTAGTTCAGCGGATATAGAAAACGTACAGAATCATGACTAGCACCACGAGGGTGTGCTTTTGAAGCTGTCTGATTGGTCTCTCCAGCTCATAGCGCCGGCTGCCTTTGGACTAAGGGTAAAACGAAGTATAGAGTCGGCGAAGCTCAATACGTTTACTCCATGTGAACTATGTATAGGCTAAGTGAACGATAGAGTATAGGGTGATGTAAGATGAAAAATATTCCTTTTTATGAAAAAAAAAAGCTCGTTGAACGTGATAAAACTATCTGAAAACGTATCATATTTCAGAATGTATTGCACAGTGTAATAAAGAAAATTAAATAGAAAAATGAACTCACTTGGAAAGCAATGACAGTCATTGGGCGTACAATTATTTTATTGGAATATCTTAAAACTTCTAGTCAGAAAACCAAATCGGAATTGCTTTAGTAAAAGTGTCTGCGGAGGTGTGTTTGAAAATTGTATTAAAACTTTCAGGCTATAAATTGTGAACATGTTTAGAAATGTTGCCTTACTGTCTTATAAATTACCATAAAATAGTTGCGCATCCGTCGCACACCGTTTTGGATGAAGTGCGAATCAATGATGTAACAGATGTCAATTGTAAGACTCCGACGTACTCACAGCTCATTTAAGATTTTATTTTTTTTTAAACTAAACATAAGGAAACTTTCAACTCTTAAGCATTTTCTTTGGAGCGATATGCACGACAACATTAAAATTAATCTATAAGGACAAGTAAACTCCACCGCCTGAATCCAATGAAAAATACTATTATTTCAAATCGCGGCTAAAGCAAGCAGTTCACATCACTTTTATTCAGGACAGCAAAATTCAGGGCATTTGCCTAAGGAATAATGCGCCATCTAAGAAACTAATAAATATTATGACATACTGTTTTGCATCTTATACTTTAAAAATATTTCTTGTTGTGCTGAAATCGCAGAGCAATCCTAATAAAACGTGCGCAAAAGCAGCATTCCTGGTAAAACAAAATATAAAAATTTCGGTTTTAGCGTCATCACCACCCGCAATCGTATAATGTAAATCTCTCTCTGCTCTATATCGTTCGGCTATAAACCAAGACTGAAAAATAAACTACGAGAAAAAATGTTTTCTGTAGAATACAGAAAACTTGATACATAAGTGGAAACGCAATCATTACTGCGTTCTAAATTTTTTATAAAATGTTTCATGGTGACAACGCGATCTTCTAAGTGAAAAAAAAAGTTTATGACCACCGACATTCTTTTATTTATTGATTTCAATACCTTCAGGGCCCAGGGGCATTGCAGAGGGGATAAACATGCAATATTAGTTTAATAAAAAAATAAAACAAAACAAAGCAACCTGGTTATAAAAGTTAATCCGGCATAGTGTGAGCTAATGTGAGCAGTTAGTGCTTTTCTAAATAAAACAATTGATGGAATAGTTACTAATGATGTGGGAAGGTGCTTTCATTCAGGTGACGTTCTAGAAATGAGAGAGCCGATGTAAGCTAAAGTTTCACAGTGAGATATGCCAAATTCAAGACTGCGATCGATGCGGGGATAAATGAAGGGGGGGGGGGGGGGGGGGGGGGCTAAAGAATAGTTTTTTCTTCAAAGAAGCATCCAAATGGTACAGTTTATGAAAGAGGCATAAACGAAATATTTTACGGCGTGCGCGAAGAAGAGGCAGGAACAGCGTGGTTTTCGTAAAACAAACACTTGCGGTGCGATGATAGTTGCAGAGTATGAAACGTGCGGAGCGATTTTGAAGGGCTTCAATGTATGTTACAAGTGTTGTAATGCCGATGTTGATATTAGCTTCATCAATTATGAAAAAAGAACTTGAATTAATCTAATCATCACCAGCTTGAGGTTTCGAATTTAAATCGGGAAAACAATTTACACCCAGCAGCTAACCTGTCTAAAGCGCGGGACTGGTGCGCGCCCTATACAAGTTTGCTGCGCAGTGTGAATTGTTTTCCCGATTTAAATTTTCCGGACTGCGCGGCGACATCTGGCGGCGGACGCTGGGCCCGAGATAGCGCGTGTTTGAGCATGCCCCGCCATTGTGCAGCGCTGGACGGATGCCACAGTTTGTGCTGACCCTTGTGCAGACTCTACCGACCGCCAGAGGAGCGCTAGGTACCTCCAAGGTTTCCAGACTACGAAATGAAGGCGCTCGGTGTAACGGCCGACACCCCGCTCCGCATTATTGCGCGTTCTTCTGAGAGGAATTTGGCCGCTGAACTTGCGGGCATCTTTCTGTCGAGGATCACGAGCTCAATAACGTCTCGAATGGTCTTATCCGCTACAAAGTCTACGAGCCACATCACATGCCTTAGCATGAAGACTTAAACTTATTTTCTCTGGATATTTTTTTTCTTACATCACTTTTTATGTATTTTTTCTAAATCGAGGCCAACTGAATTAAAATATTTACATAAAAACCCAAGCGCCTTCTCACATACTATAAACTGGAAGACTCGTTCAGACATCAGATACTTTAATTAGTAGGGTCATTACAAGTTTTGTGCTCTCGCAAAAGCGGCGGGAAGCTTTAAGGAACGGAATAATCATAATGTCTGACCCACGCTCAATATACCGCGGAATCAAAAGTTGCGCTCGTCTTTTTATTGTGAAAGCAATTCATCGAAAGTGCAGAGATAACAAGCACGTGTATTGGTAGTGGTGAGGAAGCATTACACGCAAACAAGAAAATGCGCTGCTTTCCGTGCGCACCATGGGCGGTTTCGCGCGAGTACGGAAGCGAGCGCGCGAGTTTAGCGGATCAATTCCTCTTGAAAGAACGCGCGATGAGGCGGAGCCGGCGTCGCGTAGGCTACCCCGCCACACCGAGCACCTCGACTTCGCAGCCTGGACGAGCCAAGCCACGGCTGCCAACACGGAAAGTCAGAGTTTTCCCTAGTGGGCGCCTGAAACTCTCCTATTTCTGCCAAAATTTCCCTCACTTGCCCAAATAAATGTATAATACTAAATAACCGTTGTTTTCTGCATAACTTCCATTTTAGAGCGCAGCCTTTTAAGCGCCCGTTTCCAGCTTGAGCGGCGTCGCCGTCGCCGCGCGATGTATTATGGGAAATGTCCCATAATGCATCGCGCGGGACCCTCTTGACGCCACGTGTGACGTCATGAGGGTACAGCGCGGTGCGTTGTGGGACATTTCCCATGATGCAACGCGCGATGTCTCGTGACCCTTGTGACGTCA